GTAGTTGTTCCTGCCTGAGATGAAGTCCAAGCCTGGGGCAGGCCACACTCAAGGTGGTCTGAAGATGCTGGCCTCGTGACACAGCTGAGATGGGGCACATTGCAGCCTTGTCCTCTCAGCGGGCCTGGCTTCCAGAACCCGGGCAGCCTTGCTATCAGCTCCTAGCCAGTTTGGGGTAAATGGAACAGAAGCCAACCTGGCTCTTCTTTTCCCAGAACATCAGCATTGGCAAAAGATTTAGTTTCTTGAAAATTCAGGTGCCTCTTAGAATGAATAGATTTCCAAGGACCATAAGGAGGGGCTGCCCAGCGTCCAATGCTGTGGCTCTCAGTGCTCTGCCTGGGGTCAGCATCTAGCACAGGGCAGTAAGGGTGAGGTCAGACCTCCTGCCAAGTTCTTCCCTCTCTTCAACTTTTTATGAGCACCCAAGCCCATCCTAAAATGTCCTAGGTGGACCCCAAGGGCTTTGTGTTTTCATGGGCCCTAAATTTAAGGAAGGAAATGGAGCAGCAGAGTTTAGTCACTTCTAAAGGAAAGCAGCCCCCTCCCTGGTAGTTAAGCATATGAAAGTCTAGATACTTGTGATTCTCTTTCTAAAAAGTTCTAATAACAATGTAACAAAAATAGCAAACGATAATTATAAGCAAGGCGGTCTGCTACTCTATGGTTTCCCTTTTGTTCCTATCCACGTGAATTTTTTGTTATTGGCATAATTTTCTATCGGGACTAACAATAGGTATGTAGATGAAAGGTAATTGGGTAACATTTATTAGATGCCTTAAAGTCAAGTAACCTCTAATATTACAATTCCACACCTGGAAATTTAACTGAAGGAATTAATTAAGAGTATAAAGCAAAGATTTAAATAGAGAAATGTTTATAACAACAAAAGGTAAAAATAACCTAACTTCAGAATTAGGGTATAAAATGAGTCCTTACAAAGTAGTGGCATATAGCCATCAAAATTAATACATATTAATTCTCAATAAAGACATTTATATTGTATTCATATATAGAAAAAAGGCAGTGTCAAAATAAAAGTATAGTAGAATTGTAGAAGGCAAAACTGTCAAGTGTTAAAAAGTTTTCCCCTGTAAATTAGAGTTCAGGGATGACAGTTAAGTCTGCATTTTGATGTCTGCAGTTGTTATTTTTGAGTACTTACTGCTTGAGTGATAGGAGCTACAAATGTTAAAATACATATCCCTGTGATAATGCAGATAGGATTCTACAGTCTGCCTTTGTCACATGGGTGAAGTCCCGTGATGGGCAGAGGAATGTCCACTGAGGCTTGAAAGTCTAAAATAGGGCCTTTGCAAAATAGGTCAGATGAGGTACAGAGAAGCCACAGGCCCTGGGCAGAGCCTTGAGCCCTACAGAGAGCGGATGTACCTTCCTTCCCCTTTCCCAGTCCATGCCCTCTGTCACTCTTGGGTTGGGCTGAAGGGGTCCCCCTGGAGCACCTGGGGAAGTTCTTGGGCACTCTTCTGTTTCCCCTCGTGGCTCTCAAGGAGCCCAAGAGGCCTGGGCAGCGCTCCACAGCCTCAGCTGGGGAACCAACATCCACCCTTCAGTTCAGGGCCTGCCCTCTGCACCCGCAGCTCAGGTGCTCCCTGAAGCAAGAGTTTCAGATGACATTCTGGGATACTACGCTAGGCAGTGTTTCAGTCCACAGTGACCTTGCCCAGCTCCCTGAGTTTGGGTCAATCAACAAAAGAAAAAGCAAAAACTCTCCTAGAAGGCTGCCCTTCCTGCTTGCTTTTCAAGATACACAGGACTTCTTTCTGTCAGAAGTTAGGGTTAATTGTCTTCTAAGAGAGTCATATTAAAATGTATTTAACCAAGAACAAAAGGGTTCTCCACCATTGTAAAAGTTGATAATCAACAGACTTTGGTGTCACAAACATATAGGTCTCCTTGAAGTATCACTGATCAAATGTAGGCTCCAGTTGTCTGGAGAGGAGTTACAGCTAGCTGTTCTGAAGGCCCCAGGGGAGTGCTGCTGGGAGCAGCAGGGCTTTGTCACAGGTTCTGAGGGTTGTAGACAAGAAACACAGGGACAAAAACCCAAGACTGTAAGGTTTACTGAAGAACTTGCTGCCAAGTGGGGAGTGTGAAATAGAGTTCTCATTCAGCTTCCCATAGGAACCACTCTAGCAGCTCCAGTAGTGGTTTCAGTCCCTGCCCCAGCCTCCCTAGCCGAAACTCAGCTGAGCATCCTCTGCTCCTTTCCTTCCTGTAGCCAGCCCCTAGTGAGATGCTTGCAACAAGCACTAAGTTTCCTTTTTGTAGAAAACCAGCAGCAGCTGCTAAATAACAGCAGAGCCTACATCCATTCTTGAGGTGTTTCCCAGAACTATCTGTGTTCTCGCTGGGTGACCTCATGGTTCCTGAAGCACTAGACAGGGAATCCTGCATAGTCACATTTCCCCCAGGTGCCCCACGCACTAGGCTAAGCAGCTGTTCATGGCTTTCCATGATTCCTCATAACTGTACATTGTTCGTTGAGGTAGTGATTTTGGCATCAAATCTGCTTTCGATACCAAACTGGGAATGACCACTGATTTTCTCTGCTCAGTCTTGGTCTTTGAAATCATACTGTGTTATCCAACTCACTTTTCCAGGCAAGACACTTAAACTCTTTTGCAAGTACAAAATCTTATCTGAGCCCTCTTTGCACTCCTCACTATTCTGAATGTTCAAATGGCAATATCCAAGATTAGTTTTGGCCCTCTAGGTTGTGAACATTTAACAGCTTGTGAAATCTGGGTGTGAGTTTTAGAACCCACACTTCTTGTCTTGTTAATTCATCAGTCTTTTAATGAGTGATTTCTTTATTTGTAAATGATGTCTGTCTAGCCCCTTAAACAATGAAACAACTCAGGAGCTACAATTCCTGCAACGCTATCTGCCACAAAAATGTCCAAAGAGTGGTCGTGAATTCAAGGCATGCACCCCTATTGATCCCGAAGCTGATTCAGGGTTCAGCACAAGCAGTATCGAAAGTCACCAGCTGGTGTTTTCTCCAGGTAACCCAGTCAATGAGGCCAAAAGAGCACTCACACTGCTGCCCTGCAGTTTTCAGCAAGCTCACTGTTTTTAAGACCATAAAAAAAAAATAAAAAAGACCATAAAAATAATAGGTACTGAGGTAGAAGCTAAACATGGAGAATTATACTCTTTTCCACAAGGATTTGAGTTAGATGTTACTTTCAATGAGTTTAAAATGAAAATTGCCTCCACCCACTCAGCTGGTAAAATGAAATCCTTGAGATATGAACCCAGGCTGTGCAATTGAAGGGCACAGGTTTTGTTTTTGTTTTTGTTTTTTGAGACAGGGTTTCACTAAGCAGTTCAGGCTGGCCTTGAACCCATGATGTAGCTAAGGCTGGCCCCAAACTTGAGGAGATCCTTTTGTCTCAGCCTCCCAAGTACTGGGATTACAGGTGTGCACCACCATGCCCAGCGGGGCAGGATTTCTTACCAGAGGTGCTGTTCACCTTTGAATAACTGTCAGGAAATTGTCCTTTGCACTGTAGGATGGCAAGTCTTAAAACCTATTCAGTAACTTCCTGCTCCTTGGAAGACTGATTGTCTGTCTGTCTGTCTGTCTGTCTGTCTGTCTGTTTTGAGATAAACTCCCATTATGCAGTCCAGGCAGGCCCAGGCTGGCCTCAAACTCAGTTATTCTCCTGCCTTAGCCTCCAAAGTGTTTGGACTCCCTTCCCCTGTTTTATTGGAAAAGTTACAATAACAACACATGTTCATTGTAGTAGATGAATGTATACATAGTAACTATACATATTTACATATACGGGAACAATAAATCTAGGAGACAACAGCAGTTAGTCTCTTCTGTGCTGCCCTCTCTGCCTGTTTGCAGTTGGATGACAAAGTAGCCTTGGCAAGTGACTTCACTTTCCTGTGGTTCCTCTTCTCCATCTAAACACACACACTGTTTACTACTGGGCCATCTGGAGACCTCTGCTTCTTCTCTGCTAGACTTTACTGGAAAGGATGTATTGCATAATAGGGTCTGGGAAGCAGATACATTAGGGTCCTTACCAAGGGAGTGTAACCTGCCAGGCCTAGCTCATCGGCCTCTACAGGGATGAGTGCTGTTGCCCAGCTAATTACTTTGCCTGAGAAATTGGGTGAACCTGAGCTAGAAGAGCCCAGCTTGTCTCTGAACCTGATGATGGCCTGACTAAATTTTAATAATTTATCCTTTTTCCTATGTCAGACAGGAGTTCATGTTGTCAGCCATAATTTGCAAAGAGTAACACTTCCTAGGCACCTAGTCCTGTAACTGGGAGCCCCATCCCACATCCCCACCACCAGTCAGGAGTGGTCTCTGGGGAAAAGGATGTCTCTTTCTTACAGGGTGCATGCTCTAATGCTGCAAGGGGGCTCAGGAGGCATTGTGTCTCCCCTTTAGGCTGTGGGGCATTTTGGGGACAGAATGCATTTGGAGAGGAGTTGAGGATTTCTGCTCTGGAAAGTGGGGAGAGGGCGGGGCTGAACAGAAAATTCCCTTGTCCTTCTTGAGGAAGAAGCCTCTCACCTCAGGATCAGAGTTACCTGCTTGGAAAGGCACCAGTTGTATGCAGTCAAACAGTAATACTTGCACCTTAAAAAATAAATTTAAAAAAAAATCCCCCAGAGGGAGGAAGGCGGTCCTGCCTGCCTTAATCAAGAAGCGCCAACAGCATGACTTAGTTAGATTTTGGGATTGAGGCCACTTTGGTTAGAGTCACAGTCTTAGATGGGAAGAGACTCCATAAGTCACTTAACCCTCATCTGTCCTGTTCACCCGTAGTACCCATTTCAGGGACCCTGACTCGCTGAATGTTGAGCAAAAGTCAATGTTGCCAAAATGAATGAATGAATGAGTGAGAGAGTGAGGGAACGAATGAACAAACAAACCAACGAACGAACTATGAGGTAGTTCCCACTCAGTCTCAGCCGCGGGTATTCTGCGCTCACGCGCCGGGTCTCACCTTCTGCTGCTTCCAAGCCGCACCCAGCGGCTTCACCTCGTGCTGGGCGTGCCGGCCGTCCTCCAGGCACACGTAGCACACTGGGCTCCGGCAGCTGGCGCAGTACATGCTGTAGTTCTCCAGGTCGTGCTCCGGGCACGTGGGGAACTTGCGAGCCGCTCCCCCGCCAGCGCCTCCGGGACTCTTGCAGCCGCTGCCCGCGCTGGGGGCGATGGGGGCCGGCTCTGGAGGCGCAGGAGGTGGCGGGGGCTGCACCAGGCGGTGCTTAGCGAAGGGGCCCCGGGACGGATGGCACTTAAGCTGGCAGGCGGCGCAGTAGAGCACGTCACACTGCTCGCAGAGCGCTGCCGCCGGCTCTGGCGGGGTGCGGTCGCACAGCTGGCAGACGGCCACTGCCGCGGCCGCAGACGCCCCCGGCGCCGCCCCTCGGCCCTGCTGGAAGCGCTGCACGATGGCCTCCAACAGCCGGTTGCGCTGGAAACCCCGCAGGCCGCGGTGGTCCAGGGAGGCGCTGCGGTGGCATTGCGGGCAGGTGATAGAGCTGGAGGAGCACGCGGCCAGAGACGAGCAGGCGGCGCCCCGGGCCGCAGCCGCGGAAGAGCCTGGGGGGGCGGGCACCGTGGGCAGCACGCGGACCCCGTTGGGGGACTTGAGGCTCGGCGTGTAGGAGCCGTAGCCACTGTCCGTCTCGCTGTGCAGGCTCAGCTTGTCGGCGTGGTCCCCGCCGCCCGCAGCCGCGCCCCCTACCGCGCCCCCCGAGGCCCCTGCGCCTCCAGAGGCCGCGGGGTCAGAGTCTGGGCCCCGGGGCAATAGAAGCGGTGGAGGCAGGTGCTGTTCACTGTCCGGGGTCTGCACCGCGATGGTGCGCGCGCACGGCAGGCAGACATTGTGCGAGCAGGGCAAGATGATCGGCTCGCGGAACAGGGCGCCGCACACCGGACACTTCAGCTCCTCTTCCATCGCCGCGGTCCGAGCAGCCCGGGGCCGGGGATCAGCGCGCGCTGCTCTGGAGACCGGCGAGAGGCGGCCGGCGGGGTCGGAGCTGCTGGGCGGGGAACTGGGGGCATCCCCCGCGCGCCTGCTGCCAGCCTCCTCTGTGGTCCTGCGGCCACCGCGCTGGACAGCTGGGGCGGGCGAAGGGCGCGTGCTCACCTCCTGCGCTCACAGGGCCCGCGCGGCGGCCGGGGCTGGGTCCTCCCAGCCGCTGCTTCTGTCCTCTCCCCGCCCCGTCCGGCGCGGGCCGCTGCTGGCCCAGCACCACGAGGCGGCGGACAGCGCCCCCGCGAGCGCCCCGCCGCCTCTCAGCTAGGAACCGGCCCGTGCGACCAGCAGTGACCTCGTCCCGGGGGCGGCACTGCTCCTGCGCCGGCCCTGACCTTGGCCGCGCGACGCTGCAGCGGGGAGCGAGGGGCGGGCGCCGCTGGCTCGGTGACCCCCTCCCTGCTCGCGCCGCGCGCCCGGAGTTGTAATTTCCAGCGCAGAGAGGAACGGGGCGGGGAGGCGTTGGCGCAGCGAATAGGGGCTCGCCTCCTGCTGCCGGAGACGCGGGCGATCCCGAGGATTTCGCGGGGAGGGTCCTGCCCAATAACTGCGCACCGCACCGTGTGGATGGAGAGGGTGGAGGCCCTGCCCCGCCCGGGCTGCCGTCACGTCCCTCGCCCGCTCCCGCCCTCCCCGCTCGCCCGCCTCCTAAAAGGCTAAAGCCCGGCCCTAAATGGCCAGCTTTTAGAAATGGATGGGCACACGGCGGAGCAGTCGCCTCCTAAATCTATGATAAAGCTAAAAAGCGCAAGTCACAAAATGTCGGACAGCCTGGAGCCAAAGGGCGCGATTTTATTTATGAATCGAACCGCAGGCCATTTTGTCCCAGCGTTTCCACGCGGGCTCTTGGCCGGATGGGGGTGGGGCGAGGGTCTGCACGGGGGGGGGGGGACCGGCGGATGACGGGATGGAGCTCGCCGGGCGATCCGCGAGCACGCGCAGGGCCTGGGACCCGCGAGCAGGTGTGCGCCTGCGAATGGAGGCCACCGCACCCCACCGCGCCCCTCCGCCGTCAGTCTGCAGGGGGCTCCTCCCTCGCTGCGCTAGAGGTGCAGGCTCGCGGGCAAAGGCTCGCAGCGCAGCGGCCTGGCCGCGCACATGTTCAGCACCGAGGATCTAGGACCGCTGTGTCTGCAGAATTCGCGCCTTCCGGCTCCCAGGTCTCTGTGTTCCAGACAAAGAGCAAACCTAGCGCCCACGCGGCAGGCGCGGGACTGAGTGGATTCCGGTGCGGAACACTGCAGCCCTGCCTGGCCCGCGGGAGGGAGGCCACCAGGAGGGCTCGTTCACCTCCTCCAGTGGCACACCGGGCCTTGGGGCCAGAAGCCCTCCCCACACCGGCACCGGCTACTGGCTTGCTGATACTTTCCTGGCCTACCACCCGATCTGTCAGACTGGTATTGTAATAACGCGCGTGAGAGCCAAACGCGATCTTTGTAAATACAGACTGGAGTCGTCCTACTTCCTGGGCAGCCTCCGTTCAGCTTCGTCCCGGAGCAGCTTGCTCCCTCGGTCTTCAGCGTGAAGAGCAGGCCAGTCTGGCATCAGACAGAGGCCACACTGGCTAAGAGGCCCGTCCGTCAGGCCCCTCCATTGTGGAGCCACGGTTGCACCCAGCATCAGTATCCCCAGGTGGGGAACGGGGGGGGGGGGCTCCTATCCTATATCCCATAGCTGAGGGGCATGAGCTGATTGCTGCCTGTAAGGCTCCCAGGAGCCCTGGAGAAGTGACCATGGAACGATGGGTTAGGTCAGGGGTGCTGTGCAGAGGCACCAAACGCAGGTTTGTGTCTCCCCTGAGGAAAGCAGGTCTCAACCCCTAAGCCCAGCTTTCTGGTGACTGCACAGGAGGTCATAACCTCTCCTGGGAACAGGCACCCCAGACCTCCAATTAGCATATACCCGACACCTGTTTTGCTCTACCATTTTCTTTTTTTTTTTTTTAAGTTTTATTGATAAACAGATAGCAATGAGACAGTTTCAAATCAAATCAGAAGTACAGTTTCAACAAATAATACACTGCATATATTCTTCTTAGTGGTTAATTGCTGTACAAGATGCGGACTTGTGATCCTATTTACAAACACCATTAGAAAAAATCATTCTATTTATTAAGAGAATACAACTATATATCTATCCTAACCACTTTGAATACACAGATACAAAATGGACATTCATCTGTATACCCCATTTTTTCTAAGTTCCGTTATTGAATATTATAGGTGTGTAAACTCAGCAAAATATTCTAAAAGAGTCCAGTAGCCCATAATAGCATTGGGTCTTCTGTTTAACTGGCCATGTCAGAAATTATTGACCTGAGTCCTCCACAGCTGCTCTACCATTTTCAAACCAAGGCAAACTCATTGGTTTGGGGGTTCGTGGCTTCTCCGAGGGCACACATGTCCTAGGAAGCTCTGCTTTGATCCAGCTGGGAACAGGTTTGTTTTCCCACTCACCTAGTGCATCGGGATTCCATACCTAGGCCTTCTCACATGCCCTCTGCTACATCACCCAGTTCCATGGCCTGGCTCAGCCTGGCCTTGTACTCTCCTGGGGCCAGGCTCTGCCCATCAGGAGGGTTAGTGCCCTACCATTGCTTTGCTGGGCCTGAGATCACAGCCAGTCTTGTGTGCTTCTCTAAACTAACAAACGATTGTCAAAAATCCTCATTCTGTCCCACCTGTGCCATGAGCTGTCTGTACAGGAAAGTCGCATCATCCCTTTGAACCCGTTTCTTTCTATTATAAAAATTACTTTCATAAAGAAATTTAATCCCAGCATAGAATGACATATCCACTTTTCCAAGTTACTGGTATATTATTAAAGGTTGGCCTGAGCAGCTGGTGAGGCAAGTAATAATGCTTGCATTGTAAAACGTAACAGCATGAAATTATGTTCTCCTATGTGATCATATTTAGTCCTTACAACCCAGGAAATACATGGCATACCATGTCCCCAAGTTTGAAATGTACATATCTTTACATGGTAATGCTGCTGAAATCAAGAACTATGCTACAACTGACCCATACTTCACTCCACCTTTAGCCGGCACATTTCTTGGTGACCTGACAGTGTTTCATACTATCACTTGGAGCCCTGGAAAGAGTATTTGTAATTATTTGTAATTAACAGTGTATAACACACAGCCATCAAGGCAGAGAATGGCACCAGAGTGAATGGCTTTGGATGATATTGTCCAGCATGAGTTTCACCCCTCATGTCTCAGAAGTGCTCAAGAGGTGGACTCATGTTACCTCCTCCAAAAAAAGTACAGACAAGGGGCCGGGGAGATGGCTCAGTGGAATAAGCACTTCCCTGGCAAGTGCAAGGGTCTGAGTTCAATCCCTGGTTCCGCAAAAAAAAAAAAAAAAAAAAAAAGTACAGACACATTAAATGACTTACTCCCACAAAGACAGCAAGTTAGAAATAAAACAGTCATCTACATGGGTTGCAGAACCCTTTGAATTTCAAGTTGAAACAGAATGGAAATTAAGTCTTTATTGGCTAAAAATAGATACTGAAACCTCAAGTACAACAATCTCTAGACAAATTTTAAAAAAAACATTATGGTGTTTTTCTTTCAGTTCAGTTTGTTTATTTTTGCAGTGTATGAGGATTCAGGGAAAAGAGCAGGGATCTACAGCTCAGGAAACACACAACTTGGAGTAGTTTGCTTGCCTTTGACTCAAAGAAAGCATCCACCTCCAACCCATGTAACTTTGTGGCAAAATTAATGAGGAACAATCACTAGTAGCCACACAAAGCATCTTCTCCAGGAAGGACAATTTACTTCTTTTCCAGACTTTACAGAGTAATCTTAAAATCTAGTCACTTTCCCTTCAAATCCTTCAACTGGTGGCTAACAATCTTATTTTAATATTTTGAGTATCCACAACTACTTCCTTCTAATTCTGAGACCCACTTTCTTTGGAGGTCAATGGCCCAGTCTTAGAAAACATGCCTTTCCTTCTTTTGCAAGAAAAAGCCTGTAGAGGAATAGGAAGATAGCTTGGCAAGCACAGGTTCCTGAGTTCGATCCCTGGTACAGGCCCTGGAACCAAAGATGGTGGCACATGCCTATAATCCCAGAGGCTGAGACAGGAGGATCAACATGAGTCTGAACTGCATAGTGAGACTCTGTATAAAAAAAAAACCTGTAGAATCAAATCACACACAGATTAAAATGATTTCTATTTTCAGGTCCCTTATGTGTGTAGTTTATTTTTATAATGCAGAAAAAAAAACCAAACAAACTAATATTATTACCACAAAATGGTTTTGGGCTCCATGTGTTTCTCTCTGGTTGCAACAATACTTTACATCTATGGCACCCTCTCATTTCTCTTAATTTGGTCCCCACAGCAGCATGGCCTGGCCTAGCAGATGGCGAGGTTGACCAGTTCTCCCCAGCCAAGCCAAAACAGCTTGAGCCCCAACCTAGCACAGCAGTTTAGTACACAGGCAGGCACTGGACACAGCTAGGACAGCCAGAACCTTCACTTCCCAGAATGCAGTATTGGGAACCAGAAAAAGGGTGTGGCTCAGTCTCTAAGAGAGAGCAAAGAGTAAAGCAGAAATTCAGAGAAAAGAGGTGGCCTCCTGAGGATCTTCAAGCCTGGCACATGTCATGTCTGAAGCCATATATAGATATATAATATCTATCTATCTCTATCTCTATCTCTATCTATCTATCTATCTATCTATCTATCTATCTATCTATCTATCTATTTCTCTTTACCCATCCCCCCAAGAAAATCTAACAGGGTGAGGGATTCAGCAAAGATGACATGGGTTGATCTACCTGCCTATGCAGACAGTTAAGGAGACCCCCTTCTTTTGTTGGCTACTTTAGCTACCTCCGACTGGACACTTCTGCCTATTCTGTTTCTCCTATATTCTGACCTTTCCTGTTTCTTGGT